CTTCTTTGCCAATGAGTTTTGGTTTAATAATGGCTGGATTTACAGGTATAATATCTCTTTGTAATAAAGTTATTTTTTTTTTTTTTTTAAAAAAAATTTTTATCGTTACAAACAGGACATGCTGTGTTTCCAACGGTATATAAGGATATGCGAAATCCAAAACAATATCCGAGAATGGTCAATATAACGTACACCACGACGACTTTTGTGTATCTTCTTTTGGCAGTGTGCGGTTACCTAATGTTTGGTAATAACACCATGCAAGAGGTAACTTTTGCTGAATTAAATATTTCGCGATTTAAAGATATAACTTTGTACCTAATTTTATTTTCATTCATCATTTTAGATAACGCAAAATATAATGTCCACGGAAGGGTATTGGCGTCCTCTGAATCATTTCGTGATTTGGCTGGTGGCAATCAATCCGATAGCAAAGTACGCGTTAACGCTTAACCCTATAAATTTGACCCTGGAATTATCTTATAATTTAAATCCGGAAATAGAAGAGTGGTGTAATTCTGGTCGGGGAAGACGTACGGCCTTAAAAATGTTATCAAGAATTTTAGTATCAACGTTGGTGGTATTTATTGCAATTCGTTTTCCTGGTTTCGATAGAGTTATGGGGGTTTTGGGAAGTTTCTTTTCATACACGATTTCTGCCATCTTCCCATGTGTATGCCACTTAAAATTGTTTGGAGACACGTTAAGTCGGAAAGAATATGCGTTGAATGTGACAATTATTATTATTTGTAGTATATTAAGTACTTTTGGAACAATATGGGCTTTCTTACCTACCGATCATGTATAAACGGGAAACAGAATTAATGCATAAAAAGGGCGGCAAAAAAAAAAAAAAAAAACATTAGAACAAAAAAAAAAAAAATTATTTATTATCATAATTTCATTTATTAGAATTATCTCATTTATTTAGAATTATATTATTATCATTATAATTTTCCTCGTTACATAAATCAACCTTCAATCATTAATAAAAAATTTACACAAATCAGGAAAAAAAAAGCATAGAAAATACCGACGGGTGTGACAAAAAAAAAATTGTCAGTGCGTCACATATGTGTGAAGAATCTAGAATTCTGGGCGTTGAATACCGATTTACGATCGGCTTTGCACCTTATCAGTGCATATTTTAACCTTATGGCTAAAATTTACCGTTTTTTTTTTTTTTTTAATTTTCATTAATATCCATCTAATAATGTAAGATAATATTAATTTTTTTGTGATGATAATCTCTCGGACGATCAATAATCAATGATGTAATAAAAGGATAATATATAAATCAAAATTGAAATTATCAAATTTTTTATACTAATTCTTTTTTTATTATGATTGCAGAAATTGTAACGGTTTTAGTAACAATTCCAACTGGATTGATTGCCTTTTATGTTTGGCTTTTACAAAGTCGTAAAGGAACATTGCCTATAACGACAACGGATTGTTCATATGATCGTAATAAATATGGACATATCCTTGATTGGGATAAACATTGTTTATCTATTCATGGAAGGCCCGTTTTGATATTTAGTGGAGAATTTCATTATTGGCGGTTACCCGATCGATCGAGATGGGAATATATATTGAAAAAGTATCGGGCGGGAGGGTTTAATTGCATTCGAATTTACTTTCATTGGGGATTTCATAATCCCGATGAAGGTATCTTTAAATTTGATGATAATAGGGATGTTGATTACCTGTTAAATCTTTGTGAAAAGTTGGAACTTTATGTTCTAGCGGCTCCGGGTCCTTACATTTGCGCTGAAACGCAGGCCGGGGGATTTCCCATTTGGTTAGCTGCCAAAAAGCAAAATATCCGTCATATAAAATTCACCGGATTTAAAAAGTATGACAACTATTTCGCAGCCTATGAAAAGGCTTGGTTCGAAAATATCTTACCAATTATAGCGCGTCATCAAATTACCGAAAAACCCGATGGTTGCGTTATCGCTCTTCAAATCGAAAATGAATTGTTTGATAAAGTTCGAAAAATTCCATTCGGTTTACATGATGAAATGCGCTTCCTTTGCAAGGTGGCAAGGGATTGTAAAATTACGGTTCCCTTATTTACGAATGACCCGGATGAATCAGGTTCTTTCATTGCAAAACCTGAATACGATGTGAAACCATCAACTAATTTCTTCAATCGAAAATCATTCGGTTTGGATCTATATGGATTTGATAAGTATTTAGGTAGGTAAAAAATATATATATATATATATATAGATAAAAATCATATTAAGTGTTTTTTTTTTGATCATTTCTACAAGTATTTGTGCCGGCGAGTGCACCGGTCCCATTTGATTTTAATATCGAACAGGATCCAAAGAAATGGAATCCTTGGGCACCTAAAGCAGTGATGAAAGCTTTGGATCATCTTGAAAAAGAAGTACGAGGTTTTGGCCACGACGCGGCAAAAGTATGTGAGATTTTGTAATTTCAGACAAGCGTGCGTATCAAACATCTAACAATAAATTTATTGATTCGATCAAGTCGCCTATTTTAATACCAGAATTGCAAGGTGGATGGTTTACAACATACAAGTTGGATCATACGTTTGATGATGTTTACAATTTCTATGGGGATCGTTTCACTCGAATCGTTTATGATTCGGTTCTGGCACAGGGGTGCACTATGCTTTCCATTTATATGGTTTACGGTGGAACGAATTGGGGAACGATTGGAGACACGTAAATGACAAGTTTAGTCTTTTATCTTTGAATCTTTTTAACGGGATAATTAATCATCCATTTTTATTTTCATTTTAGTGATGGATACACTTCATATGACTATTCCGCATGTATACGAGAATTTGGCTACATGTCTGGTCGTTTACGAAATTTACGTCTTGGATTTTTGTTTGCGCAAAGTTTTTCGGATGTTTTTGCAAGAACCGAACGTGTTGACGTTCCAAGTGTTCATGCATCAGTCAAGGATGTTTTCAATCTACAGAGACAAACCGTGAAGGATCAAAGTGGGCAAGGAAACGTTGTTGTATTTACATTTCTTCGAAATTTTGCTGAAAAGAAACATTATCAATTTCAACTTTTTGTTAATCATACGGAGATCCAAGGAGAGACACGGACATTCGCAATGCAATGTTATTTACCATACAAGAGTTCATTTATCGCTTTAGGTAATTACATCACCTCAACAGGATTGAAACTTATTTTCTCTTCGATTCCTATTCACTTAAGGATCTTACACCCACAAAGTGACGATGATGTGGGAAGGGAGATATGGATAATACCAGTCAATGATGTTGGCGAACTTGCTTTTGAGGGGGAAATCAATATCGAAGGAAATCTTCAACCATCCATAAGGAAAGTTGGTCATTCCATAAATATAATATCATTTAATGGTGGGAAAGGATTTGCAAAGGTCAAGCATGCCGAAGATCCAAAAGAGCTCGTCATCATAGCTTTAGATGATGATTCACTTGGCACGCTTCATGCGGTTTTTGATGAACCTCATTGGGCTCAAGCGCATAATAAACCGGTCAACCTACCTCATTCACCTTCCATAGTTAGTTGGGGAACGCAGAATTTTTATTTTGATTTCGAGAATAACACCGCGGAGATAGAATACGGAGAGTACGAAAAGGGAGTGAGCATATTATCATTACAACGACCGTCTATTGATATTCGTTTAGATTCCAATCAGACCTATCCACTTCCATTTATTTATAAGAAACAACTTACAGCAGGCGATAAATCATCGGTCATACATACCACCCCAGAATTATTTGATTGGAGTACACGCGTTACGGAATTCTCGGACCTGGAGTGGCGACCGATCGAACTGAAAAATGGAGGGGCCGTTGAAAATTATTACACATCGGGACATGTATTATATAGAACAAGGTTTCCATCCGTGAAGTCGGATAAGAGAATACAATTAAGTATTAACATGCGACATCGATGCACGATATTTGTCAATGGAAATTTCGCAGGAGGTCATACGACGTTTAATAGGAACTTTTTCTTTCCAGGGGCGAAAAATGGACCCGAAATATTTACATTTTTAGGAGGAAATAAATATGATATTACGCAATTTGTTAAAAATTACGATGATAATTTCGTAGTGATATTGGTTGAAAATTTGGGCATTAGTCGACAGTCGGTTATATTTAATGATGTGCACAATCCAAGGGGGTTGATCTCGGCGAAAATCTCGGGGTTATCGCGTGGATCAAAAGTTGAATGGGAAATTTGTGGAGTTGACGTGAGAGGGTTAGAAATACCGTTCATCACGAGCGGTATTCCTGATGAACATAAGAGAACCGGATGGGTGAAAAGTAAGAGCGTAAATGAATACGGGGTGATACCAAATGATGGAATAAGATGGTGGAATTTTAATTTTAGACATCCCGTTGATCAAAGATACGAAGGGATTATAATCGCACCATTGAGATTGGTTTTATTTGGGTCATTCACATCATATATCTTTTTAAATGGTACATTGATTGGAAGGTATTATGGAAATGGAGATTGTTCACAACATGACTTTTATCTGATGGATGGGTTATTGAATTTTCAGGAAGAAAATCGAATTACGTTAATGATATATGGTTGGGAACTTGTTCCTGATAAGGATATTAAAGTTGAGGTCAGAGGCTGGGAAATTGATGAAGTGAATAAATCCGGTAACATCATTAGGATACCAAAAGGTGTTGAAGATAGTGAGTATGACTTGAAATCTTGGATTGTTATGAGGGAAAAGATCAAGTTGAAATAAAAAGAAAAATGTATATATGTATATGTTATGACCCTCATATTTAAATATGTATAATGTATTTGTATATAATATTTGTAATACTGCCAATTCTAAGCAACTTGTCATTTAAAATATTTTCAGCAGCATTATTAAAAATGGTATGAGAAATCAAATTATTTAAATTACCAGAATTTAAAGCAAATTCTGGTTGCAATCATGATTGCTTAAAGAAAGATTTCAACTTTCTTACGTTCAGAGATTCTCAGCATAATTCATAACTTTGTATACAAACCTTCCTGAATCACAATTGCAACAATGGGTTCAGGGCACAACTTTAATAGTTGTTCTTTAACCCCTTCTTCATTTTTCATATTGATTAAAATTTCCCTAACTCTTGTTGAAGACATTTTTGCGATTTCATCATCCAATTTTATCCTCACCACTTTCTTGTCATTTTCTCCTCCTAAAATCTCTTTAAAAATTTCACTCTGAAAGAATTGTTCCTCCGCTTCTTCTCCACCATAACCCTGTCTATTTGCGCAAATAATGCTATTTGTTTCAAAAAATGAAGCGAGTTCTTCTCGCATATTTGTATAATATTTCGGATTAAAAAATCGAATTATCGTATCATAACCCATAATAAAGTAAAGTGAAAATGATTGATCGGGAGATTGAGATAGTGATGTTTGGATCGCACGAGCTTTATCTGTAAATATCGGATGCGTAGTTACGCCCACGGCTAAATTCTGTAAAGCAGCTGAATACGTGTCAGAATTCGCAGTTGATCGGACATATGAAGCTAGGGCTTCCATCATTAATAATCTATCTACGGTACTGGCATCCGATGATGTAACCGTTTTATCCGCATTTTTAATTGCAAAGAGCAATAAACAGGCATCAAAGAATTCGGGTGGTTGTTCTTTGATTTGATGTCTCGTTACGGGTTGATCATTTTGAAAATGTATATTAGTGACCGATTTCATTAATAATTGTAAATGAGCCTTTGTGGGTGGATTAAAAGAAGAATCCAACACAGCGATGCGAATTGGTTTCTTATGTTCGGGTTTTGATAATGACATGGGCCAAGTTGAAGGTTGCTTATATGTCATTTTAAACAAAGGACGTGATGGGTTTAAGTTAAATTCACGTTGTAATGATGAAAGAAACTCTTCTATGCTTGCACGACGAGATATTCGATTAGCGCACATTGTCTTTTTTCCTAATCAAAAAAAAAAATAAAATAAAATAAAATAAAGTTGATCTCTACATGATATTCGACGATATTCATGATTTTTGATTGGATTTTCAATTGGTCCATTGTCCGCAGAATCATTTTACAAGAATGGATAAAAATGTAACCGATCTTTTTTTTTTTTTTTTTTTCATTACATCATTCTCCTCTATTTTCCAATTTTTTTTTTTAATTTAAAAAAAGGAAATTTCATTTGTAGAAAGGGCTAAGCTGAAATGAATTTTTTCATTTCATGGATGAACGATTGTGTCACCACATTCCCATTACTTTAAAAAAAGAGTATTTTTATTATATGCATCGGAGTGACAAATAAACCCAAATAGACCAAACACTATCCATTTAAAGACAAATCAAAAGGGAGGGTATAGAAAATTTTAATAACAAATAAACATGCATGACAAGTGAGCGTATTTTTTTTTTTTCACGTTTACATAAGTTTATTATATAAAACTTAATTTAGGAAGTAAACAATGAAAAAAAAAAACTCCCTCTCTTTTCTATCGCTATTTTCAAGGAAATCAAAATTTTTTTCAATGAAAAGACCTTGCGACATTTTTATAATAATTTTTTTTTTTTTTTTACCCTCAATAGATAGATTCCTCACTCCATATCATTGAAACTTAATTATCCTTATTTTATTTTTTTTTTTGGATAAGATCGATTTTGTTTTTAAATATTTTATTTAATTTTTTTATTTTTCACCATTGTATGATTGAAGCAAACGTTCTATGAAATATGTCGTCCGAAAATCAAAGTTCATCGGATAATGCCGAGGGAAGTGGTACCTTAATTCATCAGGAACAATCCGAAGGAACTTTGAACCTTGATGTTGGTTCAACGGATACGAATAAACTTCATGATCCCCAACTACCTTCACAATCTGATTCGATCACCAATGCGGAACCTGATACAAGTAAAGGAGGAATACTTAAAGGAATTAAAACGTTCTTTGCCAAAGAAGTTGAGGAGGTTTCAAATGTACCAACCGTTAAAATTACTTTTCATGTCCATTTACCTTCATTGAATTATGTGGAAGGTTATCCGGTTATCATTGGTAACATTGAGGAATTAGGTAATTGGGAAGAACCGATCGTTAAATTAAAGCAATTGAAAAGTGAACGTGAACACATGCACTCCAATCATAGTCATTGGTACTCGGATCCCATTTCTATACAGAATGATAGGTTTGAGAATGAGATCAGGTATAGATATGCGTACTTTGTTCCGAAACCAAAACCCGAAGAAAAATCAAAAGGAATTACTTCTATATTTAAAAAAGGTGACAAGTCTAAGGATGATGAAAAGGACAAGGGTGAATCCGTCGACAAAAAGAAAAAAGGCAAGGATGCTGAAAAGGACAAGATTGAATCCGTCGACAAAAAGAAAAAAGGCAAGGATGCTGAAAATGAATCTAGTTCTAAAGATAGTAAAAAGAACAAAAATGAACTCAATATGAGGGAAGATGGAAACGATCTCGTGAATGAGACTGCTAAAACTCAGGCCAATGATACGTCAACAACGGAGGATCCTTCCGCAAAAGATGGGCAAGATAGCATTGAGGATCAAAAAAATAAAGAAACGAAATCGGATAAGAAGCATAAAGATACGAGGAATAAGGAAGAAGGGGATCTTTATTTCGAAGATGAAGGTAAATCACCAAGAATCTTGAGTATGAGAAATGGATTTCAGTTTGACGTGGTGGAAAGATTTAAAGTTAAAAATCGATCCTGTCAACTAACCAATATTAGAGATTTCGCGTTTCTGAATCTCGTTTATAATACTATATCCTCAACTAATCTTAAGGAAAAGATATCAGAATATCAAGACCTACTTAATCGTTTTGAAATATTGACCCTACGCGCTTCACAATTTGAATTTATTGAAAGCAATCTTGTGAAGACAAAACCAAAGGAGTATGAAAAACGGATTTTCTTATGTCTTGTTTTGGGACATTATCTTAATTGGAGGCAGAAAGAATCTCTTGGGCGACTTAAATTGCCAAATAAATTTCCTATAGCTCAAATTATTGACACTTTAGAAAATTTTCAACCGGATACATTTCCTGAGGAACATTATTCGTTTTTAAGCGTTACGATGACGGCTGTGATTCAGTTAAATGTGGATAATAGATCTTTTGATTGGTTAAAACTATTTGAGATTGCAAGGATTATCGATCCAAAATTCACCTTTATTGACGCGATTCAAGAACTTCGTTACAACAATATTGATGATCGTGTTAAGAATTTCCTAAAGGAATTTATCAAACACGCCAAGCCTGTTGTAAATCTAATTAAAGACTTGAACATTTATTCTAATATCGGAAGGGTAAATTACTTTTTGAAACATTTATTTTTTTTTTACTACAATAAATGAATCTAATCATTTTATATTTTTCCCTTTTCTAGTGGTTATTTTCCAATTGCAATTCCTTCGAGACCCTTCTTTTTGTTTGGATGGATGTCATCGATCATACGAAAGATCGGGATTTTCATCTTCTTAGACACTTTCGTCCTCGCGTTGACAAACTCGTTTCATCTTCTCGTGCGACACTTTTGGCAAACCAATTTTCACTCATTCCTGAGGAACTTTGTGTAGAAGTTGCAGAAATATTTAAAGCGAAAGCCTTGTTATTGCTTAAACATCGTAGTATCGAATGGGATAAAAATAACTCGGAAGCAATTCTTCAAATTCTCAAGGATCCTCAACTCGATTGGTCCAAGGACGAATTTTTAGAAGCCATGGGACGTGTTTCTGAATCATCAAAGCATAATTTACTTTTAACTTTTCCACCTCTATTGAACTATTGGTTTGATTCCAGATTTAAAACTTTAAAAACAAACAAGCTTCCCGAGATTTGTAGAAACTGGTATTTCCATTTAATCGAGCTTATCAATGGATCTGATTTACATGATTCTAATGATTCCAAGTTCATCTTTGCAATTTATAAGAACTTGTCAAACATCTTCCCGATAGTTGGAAAGTACGAAAATATCTTTAATGATATGTTGAAAGTTACAGTTGATCATGTTATGAATTGTGCTGTGTCTGATATCTTGAGTGTCACACCACAAATTGCAACTTTGGAAAAAGAAATTTCTGTATCATATGGAGAAATGGTCAAGACCATGTTAAGGAAATCTGTGCACAAAATAGATAATAACTTGATAAAAATTTTGTTACAAGTATGCGGCTGTGACAATGAAATTCTAGATATACAAAGCGTGTAAGTGAGCTGACTTTTGTTCTTTTTCGTTCAAATATGAGCTTTCTTATATAATTCATCAATTTTAACAATCCTCGTTCTTCTATTCGTTAAGCTTAAGCGAAGATATCGTGTGTAGTGTGATGACGAATTTAGAGGCCAAAGGTGACATTGTTAAGGATCACACCAAGTTATCAACTACCATCTTAAATTTACTTAACACTTTTCGATTTTGGAGATTAATTTTCAACGCAACAGGTCGCGTTGAAAAGTTGTATTCACATCCTTACGTTAAGCAAGTTCAAAGATACATTCATGAATTTGCCAAGGTAATGATTGGAGAGGACATAACGTTACGTTCACTAAACGAGATCCTTAAATATGATACCGACATCTTGTATCAATTTTTTAATTTTTCAATAAACAACAAGGAGGTCATCAGCAAAGATTTGATCAAAAAACATCGAAAAGATTGTCATGGATATTTGTTGAGAATGGATCAATTAAGAACGTTTTATGATCGTTTTTGCCCAATAGATAAAGTTAAAGATGTTCAAAAGTTTCTCGACGATATCACCAATCTTAACAATAATTTGGAGTATCTTGCGCTTAAAGATGCTTTATCTGATAATCATTGGGGGATCCACAAGAAAAACATGAATAGCTCTAGACGTGCACATAGGATAGCGAATTCGCGTACGTTCCGTAATATTTTTGATATCAAGATGAAATCGGAAGAAGTTGATTTGACTGTTGAAAATGTAGCGCAAATCTTGATGCCAGCGGTATTTGAGCAATATGATCAATCATGTCGACAATACAAAGAGTGGGAGAAACTCAAATGTTCAGAAGGAAGTGATCTTTGGAAGAATGTCACAAATGTCGAAAAGGAATTAAGTATGATGGATATTCAAACGGAAAAAAGTCAAATATTAATTAAAACGCTCGCATATCTTGCTTCGGTTCCAACACAAATTGAAAGGCTTCAGCAATTAACTACCGTTGTAATAATGTTTAAGGTTACTCATACTCAAAATGATTGGCTTGGGAGATTACAAGTAATTCTTCGGGGTGATTACCTCTGGTTAGGAAGATTGGTCAGCTTCTTCGAGATATTTAATCAACATCTTGGATCAATCGAAGAAGATTGTTGGGTTCTGATTAGAGAAATTTCACTGGCCGGTGATTTCATTGTTTTCCTCCAAAAGATCGCTGAACATGATATTAAAAATTTGATTAATGGAGTAGATGAATCATCAGATGAACGACTTATACAAGAAGATACAGTTTCTTCTCTTATCCAAGTCAAACAATTTTTACTTCCTTTACTAAAAGCGGCAGAAAAATTGTCACTTGATGAATTTTTGGATAAAATCAACTCTATAACTCAGCAGAGTTCAAAACTTGGAAACAAAGTAGCGCTGTGCAATAGTCACAATATGGCGTTACAAAACTTGTATAATTCTATTCAAAATAAAGGAGAGGTTACAAAAGAAAAAATCAGAAACGCGGTCCGGAAAGGGACTTACACCTTTGAACGTGATGATAAGGGAGATACGTGTAAGGTTACTTTATCTTATCCAGTGAGTTCCGGACTCGTAAGTTATACCTTGACCGAATTGCACGACTTGCGTGGACGCGCGCTCTTAATTTCAAAACCTTCGACACCTGTTGGTATCGCAACTAGTAACGCTCCGTGGGCAGTCGAACAAGAAATTTCCAAACCTATCATGGATGTATTCGTTACTCAAGTAGATATGGCACAAGAAATTATTAATTTGGCTACGAAGCTTATTCAAACAGGTCATTTTCATTATCGTGCATTTCGTCGACAAATTAATGGTGTTGAAAATATGCAACAAGCAGTTCTTGACTTAAAAGAAGACTTAAAAGAATGGTAGTTACTCTTCTTTACCAATTGGGCCTTGATATGTTTTGATTGACTTGTTAAAACAACTTTGCTTTTTTTTTTTTTTTAGGGAAAAAATCGTGAATGCGGCACAGGAAGATTATTATTATTTAACCTTTTATCCGGCTCGGCATGTTTTGACATTCCTTGATTATTTCAGCTTTGAAGAAAAGTCGAACGTTAATATTGAAGAATGTGAAAAATTAATCCGATTCGTCAATAGTAAAGCTAAATTGCCTCCAAAAGAATCGCCACCAACGCCACCACCAAAACAAATATACAACCCAAAGTTAATGATAAAGCCAAAAAAAGCTAATGTCAACATCTATGCCAATAAAAGTTACGATCAAATTCTTGGGGAGATTGGTACAAACTTACAAGAAATATTTGGAAAGGTTCCTAAAGAGGCAAATAAATTCAGGAGTATTAAAGAGCGCGTAATTTCGGATGTAGTTTATCCCGGAAAATTATTTGTCGCCGCATGTGATGATAAAACCCTTGTTCCAAACATTATCATGTCATTATATGTGAATCACGGATACTACCCTTTACCATGGCAAATATTAATATGTACGATTTCTACAACTATGGAAGAACTTGCAATTTTTGTTAAAAGGTGTTTCTTTGCAAATAAGAATGGATACACGGGTGTTTTGTTCTGTCTCGCTAATTTAGAATTATTAGATTTTGAATTGCAATATAATCTAGTAAACCTTATTAGGTCTATGCGCGAAAGGCATGATCAATTTCAATTGGCCTTGATCTGTTATCGTGAACCTGACGTACATCATCATATTTTAGATCAATTCTCACAAGATGTCCACGCAACAAACGGATTAAGCGGAGAGGCGATGAAAATGATTTACCATGAAAAGTGTCCAAAAGTTAGTAGTATTTCTTCGGATCTATCGGGACAGGGTAAAACCGAAAAGATTAGACAAGATAGTTTTTCCAATAGGTTAATCCCAAACAGTTTCCTCATTAGCGACAAAGTTAATTTTGGAACGCTGGTTCATAAGTTTAAAGGATTTGAGATGCGATCTTTTGAAAGTTTACATTTAAATATTGTATCAGCTAACGAGGCTGAAGATGCCAATACGATTAATATGTTCTTATTTGAACTTATAACTTTAGGAATTGTATTCTCTAATATGGACGTAGCGATCCTTCCTGATACATTTATATTCATTGAAGTGGCTTCCACGATTGGACAACGTTTATTTAAATCTATACCGATGGCGGGATACCTTAAACATAAACATTTAACTTGGGACATAGAGGAATTTGTGGTTTCTCAAGAGATAAGTAGTCCAATTCAAGTGGCTTGTCATTACTTGAAAGCACTTAGTGAACAAGCTGCAATAAATGAAAGAGATATTTATTTTAAGACGGGGGAAGGAAGTTCAGACTTAAAACCATTGCCTGAGAGTGAATGTAGAAGGTTAATTGAAGATTATCTTTTCATGAAAAATAAAAGGGGGTCATATGAAACAAAAGATATTTTATCATTTCGATTCATTGAAATCTTTGTTAACGTATTTGCCGAACAATTGGTTAGACTGTCATCAAGTTCATACTTTCATGTTGAAAATTTAAGGCTCATGGTGGAAGAACAAAACATTCGTAGTACGCTTGTTCAAACTTTATTAAGTGTATCAAAAGATTTCGCTACCAAATCTATCGCGACCAAAAGGGCACAAAAAGGAAATATCTCGATCAAAGAAAATGATGTCCTTGATGAGAATGCACTCCTCGGAACTATTGTACAATGGGATGACTCGAATCATTTATTGGTATTCTTCTTATCACAAACTCCGGATTCGATCTGTGCTTTATATAGGGATAAATCACGAGTACCTCAGAATGTCAAAACCCTATTAAAAAGTCAATATATCGGGGATAAAAATTCATGGGATTTGGATGATTATAATAAGATGGATCCTAAATCCTTATTATCCATATTGGAAAATTTGGCAAGGAAGACCATGCATAAAATTGATTACCCATCATACGCCCTTTCCGCCGATAATCTTATTAAGATGGCTCTCATTTTATTAAGAGCTCGTGCCAGTATCCCGGTAATCGTTTGTGGTGAAGCCGGATGCGGAAAGACAAGTTTGATCGGTTACCTAGCGAAAGTGGTTGAAGTGAAATTTCACGCGTTGAATCTTCATGCTGGTATTACGGAGGAAATCATTTTAAAGTTCATGAAAGATTCCCAAGGAAAAGTTGAAGAAGGGGAGGTTTGGTTATTCTTTGACGAGATCAATACTTGTAATCATATCGGATTACTCGCCGACCTGATTGCTCATAGGATGTTAAACGGAAAGCCTATTCATAGTAACATAAGACTTTTTGCGGCATGTAATCCATATCGTATACGCACCAAGGCGGCGACCACGGCAGGATTATTAAAACACACAGATGTTCGATTTGAAGAGACAAGCAAACTGGTTTATCAAGTTCATCCGTTGCCTGATCAAATTCTAGATTATGTTTGGGATTATGGTATTCTTAAACCAATTGAAGAAAGAAAATATATTGAAATTATGGTGCAAGAGCAATTAAAAGAACTTGGGCACCTTGTATTATCCGAATGTTTATTTGAATCACAAGAATTCATCAGAAAATGTGAGGAATCTTATAGCGTTAGTTTGCGTGACGTAAAACGTGCTATTACACTCGTAAAATTCTTTATAAAGAGCTTCGAAGGTCGTCCACCTATCAAAAAGTATGATCAAAAACCTAAAAAATATCCTGTATCTAGTGATATTTCAATTAATGTACGCTCCTATGTTCTCGCGTTGGGATTATGTTATCAATCAAGATTATATGAGCAAAGGTTAAGAAAAGGTTACAGAAAAAAGATGGGAGAAATTTTTAAGAAACATAAGATTAATAATATTAATGAAGATCGATTTAGCAGAATTTTAAGGGAAGAACAAGATGATTACGTGGATAGAATGCAATGTCCACCTAATACGGCAAAGAATGAAGCGTTGTTGGAGAATGTTTTAGTCATGATCGTATGCATCTTGACCAAAACCCCTTGTTTCATCATCGGAGCGCCTGGCTCCTCAAAGTCTTTAGCAGTGAGACTCATAAGTCAGAATCTTCGAGGATCGGATTCAAATGATGAATATTTTAGAAAGTTACCTCAAGTGTATTTAATTCCGCATCAAGGTTCTTCCTCTTCAACTTCTGAGGGTATATTAAAGGTATTTGAAAAGGCCGCTAATTTTCAAGATACAAGTTCGGAGGAATTTCCGGTTATCAGTGTCGTATTACTTGACGAAGGTATACAAAGTTTTCTTAAAAATTCATTTCTCTCTATCTTTAATTATTATTAAAGTTAGCTTGTGCATCTTTTTTAGTGGGATTGGCCGAAAAAAGTCCGTTCAATCCTTTAAAAGTGTTGCATTCGTTACTAGAACCAAGTTATCCTGATACCGAACCAAAAGTTTCTTGCGTGGCCATTTCAAATTGGCGTTTAGACAACAGTAAAAGTAGTAGAGCATTATTGGTTCAAAGACCAAAATTTGAATTAGCTGATTTAACAGATACGGCAAAGAGATTACTTATAAAAAGTGAGAATTCTCAGATAACAGAATCATCATTAAAATTATTAGCAAGATCATATTTGGATTATGAAATAAAGGGGCAAAACAAGTTACCAAATTTCCATGGATTAAGGGATTACTATTCGTTAGTAAAAAGTTTATCACAAAATAATAGTTTGACACCCGAGAATATACAAATGGCATTGATAAGGAATTTTGGTGGTGCGGATAACAACAAAGAATTAATTGAAGATTATTTTGGTCCAGTGATGATACATTTTAATTCATCAAAAGAATATCATTATAAATCGATACCGATATGGCAATTAATTGGCGCAAATTTAGATGATAAAGATGCGAGACATTTGATGGTTATTGGTAAAAGTGATAGCATCGTTAATTTATTAAATTATCAATTAAGGAAAGAAAATTTAGATCCCGTTGTAATCCTTGGATCACAATTTCCTGAAGACCAGGATGATTATTCTTATAGCGTTTTAAATCGAATCATGATGTGTGTTGAAACCGGTAAACCATTGATTTTAACAGATTTAGAAATTATTTATGGTGAGTTTGTTACATTTTAAAGGAATTTTTTATTTCTCTTTTTAAAAAAGTCTATATTTTGTATTTAATTTATCTTATTTGTTTCAATAATGCAGGAAGTTTGTATGATCTGTGGAATCAAAATTATATCGTGGTTGGTAGCGAAGACGATCCAAAATTTTATACCAGAGTAGCACTTGGCGCGTATGCCAATCCAATGTTATATGTGGCGCCAACTTTTAGATGCATATTAGTGATGGATGAAAATAAGTTAGAAAAGGCGGATCCACCATTATTAAATAGATTTGAAAAACAAAGGATGGTCATGAGTGATACATTGACCTCACAAGAAAATGAACTGGTGGAAGAACTTAAAGAATGGACCGGATTCATTTCCACCATAACGGACAATAATCACAATATTAATTTTAACCTGAAAAAATTTAAACAAAAGGATTTATTCATCGGATTTGATGAAAGTGAGACTTTACAAAGTTTGGTTATCGATATTAGGAAAAGTTTTCCCGATGATGACAATGAGGAAGTTTTGTTAAAATGCAAGGAAAAGTTGATCAAAATTGCTTCCTCCGACGGTATGATTAGAGCCGAAAGATCAAGGTTAGGCGCGGCGGAAGTCAAACAATGGAAAAATATTTATTTCAATCAACAACATCATGATAGCTTAATCGATCATATTCAATACCGTCTTGATAAATTTCATGAAGAGAATGTTTTTGATGAAAAGGATATGGGATTACAAATCATTGTTAATACTTTTTCAAATATCAACACGGATATTAAATCATGCCTGAAAGATGTGGTTAGTTGTCAAGTAGATAAATTATCAACGTTTAAAACGGAATCTCAATTTCAAAATAGAATAAAATCTTTCTGGATGGAATCTCGAGATGCGATGTTAATTTTACAATGTGACGTTACGATCGTTAGTGCGGGGTGCATGAAATTGGCTAAATTCTTAATGGAACAATATCGTAATGAGTATTTACAAAAGAAGAAACGTCAATTACAATTGTTACAACAACAACATTCATCCCCCTCAAAAGGAAAACAATCACAAGAGGTCCTTCCTGTTAAGCATACATGCATCATTTTACACATTCACAGGGAACAAGAAAATTCTATGGCATCATTTAATTTTATGTGCGGATGGGATCAGGTTACTATAGAATCCTTGTTACCGCAAGATAAGAAGTTGTCATTACTTTTGAATGATAGCTTATCGGATTTAATCACGTCAACATATCCATTCGAAGAGATCCTGAAGCAAGAATTATTATGGTGTTTATTATGTATCAAGTATCCTTCAAATGTTAAATCTGTACAACATATTAAAATGCTTAACGAAAAAATTTTTGAGAATCAAATCTTGATTGATTTATTAAAGGTTCGAACGATAGAATGGTTAAAGCGATATCCTAAAAACACCAATTGGCAATATGAAATCGCGTCCAACAAAAAATTGTTGTACCCTTACTCTTCCTTTGTTAACGCGCTCTTGACTCGTATTAGAAGCGTTGTACGCCAACCTATTGCCAAATTATTATACGCCCTTGAAAGACATTCAGCGATTCACTCCATCATTCTTTTATATGATAGAAGTCTTTGTGCAGACATTTCGGACGAAATCATGACGAATGATGATGTTTATTTATTAGAATTTTGGCACATGATGGTCAATGATGAGAATATGATTTCAATAGAAAATATAAAAGAACCATCACCCGACGGTTATACTATGTCACACGGAATATATGAATTGGAGTTTCCATTTTCATTGTATATCATGAAAAAAATTGATGATTCGAAAAGGATTTATGAAGAAGAATTAGCATCCTTACACAATGATAAAGAGAACGTGGATCAAACAACAGGAGAATTATATTCTCACGTAGTTGAAGATTATAATAAGAAATTCATCAGTAACATTGAAAAAAGTCCTATTATTAAAAATTCTCCCATCGCCAACTTTCCCAATAAGTACTTTAAAGATTTCATTAGCGTCATATTGACCAACGAATCCAATAATATCAATGAAAAGATGGACAAGGGCATCGATGAAAGATTATTAAAATTCATTTTTGAGAGAAGGTTGGGTGTCGAAAATGTGTTGAATCCTATTAAACTTCATTCATATTTTTGGAAACATAGTTCTTCCATTCTCGCCGAATTGGCTTTGGCTAAAATGATCCCTGACATCATCATACAAATTGAGGGAGAAAATGATGAGGATAACTTATTATCCGATGTTGGTTTTGAGAAATATCTTGTTGAAAAGGTCATACAAGATCTTTTATATAGGATCACCACCACGAAGGATCGAGAGAGATTAAAGAATAAGTTCATACTTGAAAAATGGCAATATGAAGTGACCAAAGTGTTATCATTATGTGAAAAGATCAACGTGACTTCTAAATTATATTCATTACGATTACTTCGAATTTGTAATGATATCTTGATAACCAAATCCATCCCATTAGAAAATATTAAACAGATTATTAATTACGCTCAACACCAAAAGATTGCTTCTTCTGACATTGAATTACAGGGTGATTTGATTTCAAAAGAATTTATCAACATAGTAATTTCAACATTTGATAAATTTGAACCTTCCGAAAAGAATTTAATTCCAAGGCGTTTATTTGTATTAAGAAGCCTTGATATGCTCACGTTAGAATCACCGGTTAGACTTCATTTCTATAAAATATTATTTTCCTCATCACCATTCCCGCTTATGGGGGCAATCATATTACGAATATTTAATATTGAAGAAAATGAAAACCCAGATATTTTCTTGCAACTTGTGACGCAACCAAAACAAACTCTACAATCTTCAGGGAGGCTTCACATCATCAACCAATGTTTTGATATAAATAGGCTGAGTACAATGATGTCCACGTTGGTTTGTGATGTTCTTCAGCAAGGATTCTTTTCAAAATTAGGCTTGAACACACTGAGCAATGGGTTTAATTCGGCAATCAATTCATTATACGGAAACGATGTTGAACCGTTACAACGTATCGCTTCAATCGCATTCCTTAAAGAATTCACCAGTCGGTTCTGGAATTTCTTAATTAAACGAAAGGATGATTTTCTTCAACCCATCACGTATAATCTGTTGGATGCCAAAGATTTCGATGGTACGACATTACTGGAACAGTTAAATCTTATATTGACGATGGCTCACCCGTTAATTCACGCATTTAAATTGTATCTATTAAGGGAGTTGCGGATTAATAGAGAATTTTCAAGTGACGATATTAAGAAATTCTGTGATGCTCAATCGAAAAATTTGAGTTGGTTCAACAATTTTGATGCGAATAATAAAGATGACAATAGATTACCATTTAATCCTTATTGGGCCATACCGGATTATGGCAAATTAGAGCTTGCATACACATTATTTTATCATAGTAATAATCAAACTCAATTTGACCAAATCTTCCAACAATATAATGACAAGTCGCCAAATCTATCAAACAAATTATTATTATTTGGAATCGTAATGTCCAAATTCCATTCGATTAGAGCTTCAAGGGAATGGAATCAGAATGAGAGAGTCATTTCCCAACAATTTAGTAATCGACTTGTTAATTTAACCACCATCCCAGAGAAGGTTAAGGCGACCATTCTAAATGTTTTAGCGAACACGCAATCATTATTAAAAATTAATCAAGGAATTTCAAATGATGAATTATTAATGAAATCGGTTTTGACTCATATAATTGGATTACATACACTGCTTGAGCCGCAAGCCACCCCATTATCCATGTATATGCATAGAATTGGAGATGCTCAAAATACTTTTGTGTTAACATGTCAATCGGATATTGAAAGTATCATACTTAGCGCTATAGCGGAAAGCGATATCGTATCAAGATATGCTTGTCAATGTGGTTACAAATATCTAATCGGGGAATGTGGTCAAGCTTGGATCGAAAGTAAATGTCCCGAATGCAAAAAAAAGATTGGAGGATCGAAGCATGTTGCGGCATCCGGTAATATGAGGATCGATGCTGTAAGTACAAATAAATTTGAATCAAAAGATCAAAGAGGGTATATTTCAGAAAGTCCTGATAAAGACATTAATCATACCACAAGACGTATGCCTCCAGTTTCTTATAGAATCCTTCACCTAATTGTTCACGCTATTATCGGCTCTCAGGCTCCTTCTCCGCCCGCCACCGCTTTCATTCGACAACATAATAAGAATTATACTAATGTAGAAGATTATTGTATGGAACATATTAAAAATGATTGGAACATTTTAAAGACAATTCTGAATTGTTCCTGCGAAAAGTTGGCTCTAACATTTCATTCGATCATAATAAACCTTACCACAAATCCCCCACAATACAATTCAACGCTTCACACTTCTAACGATAGAGATCAATGGGAAACAATGTTTACTCAAACATGTGTACTTCCATTTACTCGTAGTGTAAATGAATCTTCGGCTAGATTTCGTGCTCAATTAGATCAAAATATGAAAAAAGCCGACGTAAAAAATTCCTTATTAGAGGAAGAAATTAATCAAACTAATACGATGGATGACAAGTATTTAAATGAAAATTTACCTGCTTTGTGGAGGATCATTGGTAGAATTGATTATGATAGTTTTAGAGCTTATTATATATCTGATCCGACCCATATTCACAAATATCCCTTCCTTAAGGTCTTCTTCAAACACTCAAAAGAACTACCTTTGGTTCAATATCTTTATCCAATGGTCAAATTTATTCAATTACTAAGCAATAGGTTGGGTTACAAATTATCAAGGGAGAAGGCTAAAACATTAACCTTTGAAGAATTTATTAAACAGACATCAAATGGAGACTCAGATACCTATAATTCACTTTGTAAATCATTTGTCGAATTTCGAAATGCTTATAACACCATAATTTATCAAGTTAAAAGATACCAATGTCATGACATTCCTAAGGAGAAACCACAAATTTCTTTTAAAGAAAGTGTTGTTTATGGATTGATGGAAGGAAAAGATGAGGGGATTTACCTTTGCGCCATCTTGGAATACTTGATTAATATTCAAAATAAATTCTTGGAAGGATTGATGTCAATACCACCTGGATCCTGTGGTTCTCTTAAATTCTTACAATCACCTTCTTGGGATGATATTGATTCTACTTCAATTGATGATGCCCCTTATATCGTTAAAACCATGAAACTTGAACGTGCAGTCGAAAGTAATTTTATCATCTATGAATGGAATGACGACATATTACAGTATTCTCAAAGAATTTTGGGTGTAGGAAAAGGTCAGGATATTATTTACGATTTACAACGAATTGAAAGTGAATTGGCTAATGCCCTGGTTTATAATAAAGCTTATTTTGAAGGGGTTGGTAATGAACAATTGATATTAGATCCTTTCCCTTATCATTTGGAATTGTTCTCTTCTTCAATGCGTTTGCTCGGTGAGATTAAATCATTGATTCCTCAAGAACCGATTCCTTCTGATATGATATCTCTTATAATTGGTCAGCAAGCAATTTCAACTCATTTAACACTTTCAAAAGACAATTCTTCCGAATTACTTTCTTTGTTGGAAATTTTACTCTGTTTCGTTAATAGATCTTTTATTGGAGATGGGGAATTACTTCTCAGCGAATTTATAGATCAATGGATTCAACTATCATCATTATCAGAAAATACAAGATTCAAGAATATCTTGTGTTACGAAATTAAATTAAAACATATCGTATCACTTTATGAAATAATTGAAGAACAGGTTGCCGACATCATGATTCAATATGTTGATAGGAAATTCAAGGATGATCTAACAGATAGGATGAAGGAAGATCTTAATAATGTTATTGATTTCGATGGTGGAAATAAAGAAAAAATTCCTGCCGATTCATTTATTATTGCTATGAAAAGGTTTATTCAAAGAATATTACAAGCAGAAAGTGAAAAAGAAACTCATAGACTAGTTGATTATATGACTGATATGTCTCTTAACCTTTGGCCTAGTAATAATGATATAGAAGAGATTTTGAATCAGTTGTTTCCTCATAATCTTTTAGTATCCAATTCTTTAGCATCTTATGAATACGTTTTACAGAAAAAGGTATGCATTAATGTCATTAAAAATTTTTTCTTTTTTTTGTTTGAAAAGTAATTTATTTATAGATATATTTTTTTTTGTTTAAAAATAGAAATCCATGGGTATTAATAGTAATAAACCTATTATGATAAATACCTTTAATTCACAAACAATCACTTCTTCTAACTTGAATACTTTATCAAGTCCAACTCAATCAATTCATTCTTCAAGAAAAGGAAAAAAAGTTGATAGAAGTAAATTTGATATTATGTAAATTTAATCATTATATATATTTTTATATTTTTATATTTTAGAAAAATTAAAAATTAAAAATAATAAAAATAGAATAAATAATTTAGATTAGTCTTTTTTTCTAATTTAATTATAAATAAAGTATCTTTATTTAATTTTTTTGAGATAAAAATTTTAAGATTTGAAATAAATTAATAGATTATTAAATTTAATATTAATTCAAATGTTTTTGTATATTATATTTTATAATATTATTTATTTTTCAATAAAATTTTTCTTAATATAAATAATAAATCATAATAGAATAGTTAAAAGTTCTTATTTTTAGTAAAAAACAAAATTATTTATAAAAGATAAATTAAATATCTCAATATTCGTATTGTTAATTTATTTTCAAAGTAAAATATTTCAATTTTATTAAAGAAGCATTTTTAAAAGAAAGATATGTAATTTTATATTAAAATTTTTGTAAAATTTGTTAAATATTAATAGTTAGAACTTTTATGTAAAGCAAAAATAATTTATAATGTTAAAAAATTAGTTATAAAATTATAAAACATTAGTTAGTCCAGAACGAAGCAAAAGACTATATATGTTTAGACCCAGTATCCGTCTGTCTGCCTGCTTATATTATGAGTCGATACGTGATTGGTTCCTTTAATTGCATGATTGTTATACGATCATTAAAAAACAAGGACAAGAAAAAAAATTTTTTTGTCATATTATCAACTTTTTATTTTTGTTTTGAAAAAAATTTATGTTTTCACTTTCATAAGAAATATAAAAAAAAAACTTTATCATCACAAAACAATAAAGAAAAACATTAATATTTTATTTGTTGCGCTATTTTGTTATTATGGAAAGTAATTGCTTTTCAATATTTTATTTAAGAAACTTATAAAAAGTATATATGATATGAATTAGAATTAACTGAGAAAATAATTAAATCTCTTGCATTTTGATTTTACTAATATCAATTTTAAAGTA